CCTCGCGTGCCTCCCTTCCCTCTCCGCCGCTCGTCATCCGTCCCACATTCGCATCTCTCACTAGATCCGTCGCGCAATACCCCCGTCGCTCGAACGATCCCACCGCCCACACAGGGCAATCGCCACCCCTCAGGTCCAGTCGCACACACTCGAATGTGACACTCACTCCCGTTCCGCACACTCACTCTCGCCGCTCACGCCCTCCCGTGCCAACTTGCGTCCCGTTGCTGAGATATTCGTGGCGCGCTCACTCACTCCCGTCGCTCATGAACTCCCGCTGTGGAATCACTCCGTCGCTCGCTCACCCTCGTCCCGCGCTCACCTTGTAGGGCGCGGAACTCCCGTATGTCTTCACACCACGGTTTCTCTTCCGCTGCCTGGACCGCATCCTTTCAGTCCAGTGGCTCTGCCATCGGTGTCTGCATGCGCTTCTCCGCGTCTTCCGCCTCCCATGCTTCCGCCTGCGCCACTATGCTGGCGGACGTCCTAATATGCATGCAGGGACTACGCGCCTAGCAGCAGCGGAAGCCCTTGCACTCGCGCTCGCGGGCCGTTGCCACGGAAGGACACGGGGGAAAGGGAGGGTGAGACAAAGGGGAAAACGGAAGGAGCAAGGGCGCGCTCGCAGGCCGTTGCCTAGGCAGCCGCCGAGTTGTCGCTATCTGAGGTGGCGAGCAGCATGGTGGTGTGGTAGACGCCCCAGAATTCGCCTCCTCGTGGGAACCAGAGCCTTGGTCGGCGTGTAGGAGAGAAGACGCAGGGGGTGCCGGGGAGGAGAGGTAGCGCGCCTGTCACATGGCGTCCGCCCCTCTCCTCCTTTCCCTCTCAGCACCTCTCCTCCTTTCCCTCTCCTCCTTTCCCTCTCGTCCTTTCCCTCTCGTCCTTTCCCTCGCAGCCCCTCCAGTCCTTTCCCTCTCAGCCTGTCTGCCTGCACAAGACCTTGCCGCATGCTCGGCCTATCCAATGCTGAGTTCAACATGCCCAAAACGGTATGCCCAATGCACCATGCATGCACCATGCACCTTGCCACGTGCCCCATGCCCCATGCACTTATCACCATATCCGCCCCTTCCCCGCTCCACCACTTACCCCTTCCCCACCACCCGCCTCTCTCTCCCCTCCACCCCCTTATGTTCGTCAGGGTGCGCGAGAGTCATTTTACCACTCTCCTCCTGCCTCCAGCCTCTCTCCTCCCCCTCACACCCCAGAACCCTTCCATACGAGCAGCTCGTGCCACCGCCACGCTTCTCCGTGCGCCCGGGTAACAGGCTTGCGGAAGGAGGGGGAGTGCGGGCATGGAGGTGAAGGGTGAGGATGTGAATGCAGGAAGCAGAGCAGTGCTGGAGTGGGGGCTTTGCTAGCTACATGCAAGTGCGCCTCAACTTCCCTGAGGACCGTCCTGCCTTCACTCTCACCGTCCTGCCCTCCCCCCTCACCACCCCGCTACCAGGTCGGCGCTGATCGACCTCTTTGCCGGCCCCTTCTTGGCAGTAGTGGCGGTGGAGGTGTGGCAGGAGGGAACGGCAGCAACAGTGGCATGGGGAGTAGCAGTAGTGGCCCCTCGTCTCTCTTGTTGCTCTCCACACTCTGGTCCCTCCCGTCGCACCCCGTCGCCCCCATCCCTCACGAGGATCCCTCCCGCGCCTTCCTTCACTCCACGCCTCTCCCCTTGCCCTATGTTGTTTTACCCTCCGTCCCCCTGCAATGTACCCCCTTCCATACAATCTGCTTTGCCCCTTCACCCCGCCCCCCTTTTCCCATGTTTCCAGCGTGCAGCTTTCCCCCTTCCCTGCGCCCTCGCATTCCCCTTCCGGACGAGCTTCTTTCCGCTTTTCCCTCCCAGCTGTCTCCCCACTTCTCCTCGCGCTTCTCCCCCATCCCTACTTGCTGCTTCTTTATTCCTCAACCCCACACTCCCGTGAGCATTCCCCCGCTGTCCTTCCCTCCTTTCCACCACCTCCCCATTCCCAGCCACCGTCTGCCCCCCATCGTTCTGCCCATCGCTCCGCATGACTGCCCGTGTTGGTGTGGGGAAGATGGCGAGTCAGGTGGAGCGTTGACGCGTCGTGGCGGCACACATAGCAGGCCAGCCCGCACCAGAGCTCGCCCCTCGGCCCACCCTGGCCGTGGGGGTGACAGGGATGGACTCACGTCAGCTCAGGCCTGTGCAGGCGGGGCAGCAGCATCAGCAGGCAAAGCTGGTGCAGCCGCGGCAATTCCGTGCTCGGTGTCTGGACAGCTTCTCTACTGCCAGCTCCTGGTGCGTGGCGGCAGCACTCACGCTCATTTCACAGTGTCCTGCATATCCGCTTCCCCCTTTACCTTTCCTCTTTCCCTTCCTTCCTTCAACGCCACTCTCTCCCCCAAGGGCAACCACCCCGGCAGACACCCCCCACCACAGACTCACGCATTCCAGCCCAGCCGTCCCTCTCTCACACCCGTCCCTCTCTCACACCCGTCCCTCTCTCACACCCGTCCCTCTCTCACACCCGTCCCTCTCTCACACCCGTCCCTCTCTCACACCTGTCCCTCTCTCACTCCCGTCCCTCTCTCACACCCGTCCCTCTCTCACACCCGTCCCTCTCTCACACCCGTCCCTCCGTCACACCCGTCCCTCCGTCACACCCGTCCCTCCCTCACACCCGTCCCTGCTGCCATAGTCAATGCTGTAGTTGTCACATCGATGTCCCCTACTTGCAGGTGCAGCACTCCTGCCCATCAAAGCAGCATCGACCTCTCTCTGTAAGCATAAGTCGAGGGACCTTGCGTTGCATTATCCTTTCCCTCTTTCTTGTTGGCTGCTTGTCCTTCATCAATATCTTGTATACTTCCCTGCTGCTCAGCCATGTCACAACTTACTTCCTGGTTTGTGTTTGTATACAGGTCTGCTACCGGTATGCATCTGGTTGTGGTGATGTGATCCACTCTTTGATACTACCGTACTACGTTGATTGGCCATGCCATGCCGTACATTGATGTTGAATGCTTTGTTATAATACAAACTCTGCTCAGAAGCAGCCGCGTGCACATGACCTCTACAAACTGAGTACTTGGCAACTGACCATCGACACAAAGGAGACAGCTAGAGAATGCAATGTTTTTGGGCCACTCTTGGCTGCTACACTGCATGCAATAAACCCTGGGCCATGGTGCTGGGACCTGTACCCTGCGCGGCTGGAAGTGGGGGTGAGTGGAAGGGGGAACAGACTGAGCAGCGGAAAATAGAGTGAACAGGAAGAAACAAAGCGAGCCGGGGGAAGAGAATGAGCAGGGGAAAAAGAGTGATTGGGGGGGGAGAGAATGAGCAGGGGAGACAGAGTGAGGAGGGGGAAAGAGAGCAGGGGAGACAAAGAGAGGAGGGGGAAAGAGAATGAGCAGGGGAGACAGAGTGAGCCGGAGAGATCAAGGTGTGTGAGGGTGATACTGCTGCTTGTAACCACTTCAGCTCGCAGGGCGGGTTGTGAGGGCGTGTAGGGGGGGTAGAGTGCAGTGGAGAGTGGTGAGGAGCTGGGGCCGTGATGTAACACAAGGGCGTCCCAGCAGCAGTAGAGAGGTCGAGGTTTGTGAGGGATACTGTTGCTTGCAACCACCGCCAGCCGCATGGCGGGGTGTGAGGGCATGGAGGAGTTGAGTGCGGTAGAGGGTGGTGCGGAGGAGGAGGAAGTGTGGCGCCCCGTGAGTGGGAGAGGTCGATGTGAGTGAGGGAGGCGAGGAGGTGAGGAGGGAAGAGGGAGGAGGGAGGAGCGATTGAGGCACCAGAGAGAACGAGATGAGTGAGGGGGAAGGAGGAAGAGGAGTGAGAGGAGGAAGGAGATGAGGCAGAGGGAGAGGAGGATGGAAGAGGGAAGCCAATGGAAAGGAGGGGGCAGTGGGAGAGGTGGAGGGCGGTGAGGGAGGGGTGGGCGGGGAGGTGAGAGAGGGCAGTCCAGGCGAGGTTGGCAGAGAGCAGGTGGGGGAAGGCGAGGAGCAGCGAGGCAGAGGCGTTGGTGATGCTGCTGTCCCACACTCACAAATGGCGCAAGTGAACCAGCGACTGCAGGGGAAGGGGGGTGGAGGCGGGGGTGGAAAGGGGATGGTGGCAGTGGGGAAAAGGGGAGCATCGGTGCAGAGGCGTTAGCGCAAGTGAACCAGCAACTGGAGGAAGAGTGGGTCGGGGATTGGGGGGGAGAAGGGGAAGAGAATGAGCAGGGAAAAAGAATGAGTTGAGCAGGGTAAGAGAATGAGCAGGGGAAGAGAATGAGCAGGGGAAGAGAATGAGTTGAGCAGGGTAAGAGAATGAGCAGGGGAAGAGAATGAGCAGGGGAAGAGAATGAGTTGAGCAGGGTAAGAGAATGAGCAGGGTAAGAGAATGAGCAGGGGAAGTCTTCCCTGTGCAACGAGCCGAGTTACTCGTTCGGACTCGGCCGAGTTACTTGTTTGGGTGCGAGTTTCGTTTTTTGAAAAAATTACTCGGCCGAGTCGAGCCGAGTATTACTCGCCGAGTTTTTTTTGCTCGACGAGTACTCGCTTGCTTTTAGGCGAGCATTTAGAGAACTCGCCGAGCCTTTCGAGCTCGACGAGTACCAAAATACTCGTCTCGCTACCCTAACCAATAACATTGCGGTTTGGTTGGGTTGGAATTTTCCTCCCGCCTATTTAGCCAATCCGTTTTCAGATCTGATGGGTGTCATTTGGATCATGCACGCACCTATCCTTCAGTTCTCCCTCCCGCCATTCCAGACAACAACCTTTCAGATCTGATGGCTTTCCCCAGGATCACGCATGTACCGTTCCCTTAGTACTCCCTCCCGTCACTTCGCCTACGCGACCGCTAAGGTCTGAGCACGAAACAATGTCGCCATGTGTTCAAAGGGACGAGCTCGACCGGATCCGTAGGACTTTGACGTAGCGTTGTAGATGCGATCGACCGTCAGATTTACCTAGACATCGCGATACCTGTTGTCTTAGGGTTGACATTTCCTAGGACGTTTAGATTAGAAGGTCGACTTTACCTTGGTAGGATGGCGCGATCAAAGCAGTGCGTCTCTAAGATCAACAAAGCGCCGGCTGCAGCAGGTCGCGGTCGCGGTGGTGCTCGTGGTAAAGATATCGCTAATGGTGGCGAGAAGAAGCAGATCGGGATGACACCTTTAGAGCTCCGCCAACTGAAAGTGGCCTCAGCGGAGTTTCATCGTTCGCAAATTTTAGAAGCGGTTGGAGGAGGCAAGAAGGTAGACAAAGGTCATGGCGAAGGGAGTTCTGGGGTGAATCGTGGCTCTCATCGTGACAATAATGTGGAGGACGAGGTTGATGGAGAGGATCGCGAACGGCACGGTGGTGTAGTAGGGGACTATGGCGATGATGACGGTGTGGCCGGAACCGCTGGTCCAACCAGTGCAGATGGCGGCACTGCTGCTCGCGCGGATGGTGACGAGGATGAGGCGGATGAGGAGATGGTGGCGGCTGACGAAGAGAAGGACGAGGAAGCGGAGAGGGATGCTGACGAGGAAGAGGAAGGGGATGCCGAGGAGGAAGAGGAGGGGGATGCCGAGGAGGAAGAGGAGGGGGATGCCGAGGAGGAAGAGGAGGGGGATGCCGAGGAGGAAGAGGAGGGGGATGCCGAGGAGGAAGAGGAGGGGGACGGGGAGGAGGAAGAGGAGGGGGATTCGGAGGAGGGGAGCGGTGACGACTCTGAGGAGGAGGTGTACACCGGTGACGGAGAGGAGGCGGAGGACGACAACGCTGAGGACTTCGACGACTTGGAAGAGGAAGGGATGGAGGAAACAGAGGGAGATGGGGTGGAGAGTGCTAAAAAGAGGAAGCGGGGTGGAAATGGGAAGGGTAAGAAGGCAGTAGGCGGTCGAGGTGGGGGGGGGAAAGGGGGCGGCCGGGGGAAAGGAGGTGGGCGAGGGAGAGGGAGGGGGCGTGGTAAGGCCGGAGTTCGAGCGGGAGGGCAGATTCGGAGGGAGGACACTTCGGGGATGGTGTTGCCACCCCATCCGTGCACTCTAATGCCACCCCACCCAATCCCAAGGTTCTAACGGGGTACGTCACCCGATGTCTTGAGAAGATTCCTAACCATCCAAAGGAGAAGCGTCGATGTCGCAAGTGCAATAGTGAGATCTCCTTTGCCGGAACCAACTGCAAGACTGGCAGGACTCACATGGAAGGGCAGCACCTCAACCACTGGATCATATGATTGCGGAAGTTCCATGGTGGGGAGGTGGGCCAAAACGACCACTTCCCTGAGGGGGGGTATGGGGTTGACGACGAGGTTCCGGACGGGGGCGTTAAATGGGTAGGCGTAGACACTTGGCCAGCACCGCCCACTGAGGGGGTGCCAGCGAGGAAGGGGCAGCAGCTGATCACGCAGACCTACCCCAAGCGCTTCAACAAGGACTATCTGCAGCAGGCCATGTGCGAGTGGGTGGTCGCCACCGACCAGGCATTCACTGTGGTGGAGCACCCGACGGTGAGCCCACCACCATACCATCACCACCCCTTCTTAACCACAAACCAGCAGTGATTGTCCTGTAGATCGTCATTCAGTGTGCTGCTACTAAAGTGTTGTCGCGTAGTTTGTACCTCCTGCTGGCCGCAACCAAACCTGCAAAGAATGGAAGTCAGTATCCGCGGCCTCGTACGTACCCACCCCCCTTCTTGATGGCAGTTTCGCAATATGATGGCGGCCGCCAATCCTAAGTGTGCCGTGGAGAAAGTGATTCCATCGCGCTCCACCCTAGCCCGCCAAATCATCCGCCTGGCAGGGCTGGCAAGGATCAAGCTCAAGGAGATGCTTGCTGCTGACGGGGTAGGGGCTGTTGCACTTACGCATGACATATGGACCGGTGAGAATCACCGGTCGTACATATCTGTGACAGGTCACTGCGTGAATGAGAAGTTTGAGCTCATGCAGATAACCCTCGACTTCCGCGCTATGCCTGGCAAGCACACCAGCCAGAGGATCATCGAGATGCTGCTCGATGTGGTGAAGGAGTGGAACTTGGAGACGCGGTGCATTGCTGTGACATCCGACAACGCGTCGGCCAATGTCGCAGCGATGGCGTTCCTTTGCCGTGGGGGGCGAACCGACCGTCAGCCGCCCTTGTTCTCCTCCGGGATGCACGTCAGGTACCTCAACTTGGTTTACCTCTCGCACCCTGGTGGCTCTGTGCCGTGTTGTGTGTGTGTGCGTGCGGTACTCGTGATCATTCCGGTGTGTGCGCCTTCTTTTTCAAATCAATCATGCAACCCTTACACCAGGTGCATGGGCCACATTTGCAACCTAGCAATCCAGCTAGGGCTGAAGACAGTGCTCGATATCAAGGAGCCGCTAGGGATCGTTAGAGACCTAGCGACCTTCATTGGGTTATCGCCCAAGAGGACAACCCTGTTCGAGAAGATCCAGAAGCGTGCAAATGAGAAGGCGATGATATTGCGCCTTCGCGGGGACAATGAGGTGCGGTGGGGCTCGACCTACCTCATGCTCGAGCGCGCGCTTCGACTTCGAAGTGCCATTGAGACCTTCTACCGCAAAGCTCCAGTAAGCAAGTAGATGGGCTGAGGCATAGCGGCTGGCTGTGGTGTCTTCCCCACTGAGCTCTGGTGTGTGCTGCTGCAGAATGTTTACCATCAAACCGCTAGGCCACCATGGACCACCTTGGGTTTACCTGGGCGGCCCTGGAAACCCAAATACTACGTGGTACCATGGACTTCACTAGGCGTTATGTACAAGGTCGTTCTATGCCCCTATAGGGGGCATGGCCGAGCATTACTCGTACTCGGACGAGTTTTTCAAATTGCTCGCCCGAGTTTCCCTAAAGAAGGCGAGTAACGAGTATCTGTTTGGGGGAAAATTGCTCGGCCGAGTAATACTCGACTCGGGCTCGTACTCGGCCGAGCATGGCTAGGGACGAGTCGAGCATTACTCGTGCTCGGCTCGTTGCGCTCTTCCCCGGGAAGAGAAAGAGAAGGGGAAGAGAACGAGTTGAGCAGGGTAAGAGATGAGCAGGGGAAGAAAATGAGTTGAGCAGGGTAAGAGAATGAGCAGGGGAAGAGAATGAGCAGGGGAGACAGACAGAGTGAGCCAGGGGGAAGAGATTGAGCAGGGAAACAGGGTGAGCCGGGAAACAGAGGGCGATGGGAGAATGAGCAGGGCGATGGGAGGGGGAAGCGAAGGCGATGGGAGGGGGGAGCGAAGGCGATGGGAGGGGGAAGCGAGGGCGACGGGAGGGGAAAGCGAGGGCGACGGGAGGGATAAGTGAGGGCGAGCGGAGGTTGAAGCGAGGGCGATGGGCGGGGGAAGCGAGGGCGACGGGAGGGGGAAGCGAGCGAGATGGGAGGGGGAAGCGAGCGAGATGGGAGGGGGAAGCGAGCGAGATGGGAGGGGGAAGCGAGCGAGATGGGAGGGGGAAGCGAGCGAGATGGGAGGGGGAAGCGAGCGCGATGGAATAGGAGGGGGAAGCGAGCGCGATGGAAGGGGGAAACGAGGGCGATGGGAGGGGGACGTGATGGGAGCTGTGGCGACGGAAGGGGGAAGCGAAGGCGCCGGACGGGGGAAGCGAGGTCGACAACGCTTTTTTTTTCTCATCTCGTGCCACACATTATCTCCGTGCTTCACACTCGCATTCGTGCCACATTCCCTCCCACGGTCCTCGGATTCCTCTCGATCCCGCCCTCAGGGTATATAATCTCACACGTTGTACCTAGCTATTTTAGTCTGGATACCTAGTTTCCTAACTCTGATGTTCTATGTGTTTCTTACGTATGCTTTTCTAAGAGTGCGCCAGTGGACTTGGCGTAAGCCTGAGTTGTGAACTGCGTGATGGTGGTTGGGTCCGGTTTTGTCGTTACTATTTGTTCAAGCCGAAGCTGCGATACACTGTGCACCATTTTGCCTTCGCCACCTGCCCCTGGCGAATTCTCCTCTCGTCAACCTTCGCGCAACCCTTTTCAAGTTCAGTATTTTTTTAGCCCTTGCCATTCTAGGCGCCGGCTTTCCAGACAGGTAAACATTCAGCGTTCGGGTTTCCAATGCGGTGGACGATCGATATTCCTCGATTTTGCACGATCGATTGAGGGAGGTGACGTGTCCTCAGGTTGTGTCATGGAAACGAAGTTTACAGCTCATGCATCACTGTTCAGGCCGGTATGCTGAGGTTCAAAGCGATGGAGAAATAATACAGCTCTATAACACATAGAAGTCAACGTCAATAAAATGAACAAGGAAAAAAAAAAAGCAAACGAATTGTTCTATTGAAATTACGTCTTTCGAAAGCGCAGCTGCCTTTAACGCAGATTTGGCAATGTCAAAGTGCGCTAAATGCCATTCTCCACTCCAAATCATGGGTTGGAGCTCTTTTCCCTCCACCTACGTTTCTTAAGTATGTTTGGCGGAATGGTCAACCCAAGAAAGTGAGAAACACAAATACAAACCCTAGAAGTGCCATCCTCCCTATTGTGTGCCTCACTATAGCCTAAAAAACGAATACATTGTCAAAATGTTGTATTTTTCTAGCCTGCAGTAGGATATTCTTTAGCGAGTACAACCCAATTTAGGGTTTCCTACATGTATCCTGCTGCTGCTAGTCCAAAGCCCTCTTTTCTGTTCTAAACTTCTGCGTCGTGTTTTGACATGGTATCGGAGCAGATCGACCCTCCCTGGTCGATCCTGTGGATGGGCCTACCGTTAGCTTTCGCTGCTGTCCTTCCTGTCGTGAGCCTCATGCGCGCGACGTCTTCTGCCCGCCACGCGCTTCGGGCGCATGGCAGTTTCCTGCCCACCGCGCGCCCCGGGAGCGCGCGACGGTTTCGTCGTCCGTCGTGGCGCCCCGGGGGCCCGCGCGCTGTCCCCTCCCGTCGCCCGTCGAGGCAGGGGGCCTGCGCGTTGCCCCCCCTCCCGTCACCCGCCGCGGCGCCATCGGGGCCCGCGCGTCGCCCCCCTCCCGTCGCCCGTCGTGGCGCCCCGGGGGCCCGCGCGTCGCCCCCTCCTGTCGCCCGTCGAGGCGCCCCGGGGGCCCGCGCGTCGCCCCCTCCCGTCGCCCGTCGCGGCGCCCTGGGGGCCCGCGCGTCGCCCCCTCCCGTCGCCCGTCGAGGCGCCCCAGGGACCAGCGCGCTGCCCTGTTTCCGCTCGCACGCCGACCCAGCTGCTGCCCGCGTGTCTGCCCCGCGCCGTGCGCGCGCCGCCTGCGTTTAGGGTATGGGGGTGGCGGGTATGGGGGTGGCGGGTGTGTGAGCCGTCCCCTGCTCCTCCTCCTCCTCCGTCTCCCACTACTGCAGCTGCCGCTGAGGGGGGTGGATGTGTGGGAGCCGTCGGAGTGGTACTAGGGGGGTGGTGTGTCAGCAGTGCTATGGGTACAGCAGGGGGTGTGTGAAAGGTGTGTAGAACAACTGGGGCAGGTTGAGTGGAGGCAGCCGTTTTGTCGTCCGCAGCGCCTGTAGTCCGGGGCTCTGCACCTGGTAGCCCAGAGAGCCTGCTGCGCCTGTCGCCCGTGGGTCAGTTGCTCCTGCCGCTCGTCTTAGCGCATAGCCAGTTATTCCTGCAGTTGGGGCCTTTGCCACCGGTAGCCACAATGTGCGCGCTCCTGTTGCCCGTGTGTCTGCAGCTTCAGCCGTCGCCTCCCATCTTCTCGCCCCCACAGTCTCTCCTCCTCCTCACTTGCCCTCTGTGATAGCCTCTAGCTTTGCTTATCATTGTGAACTATTGCTCTGCCTGCTTATTGTGCTGATTACACCCCACTTTGGCTATGGAGGTGTGTCAGAATGTTATATTTGTCTAGCCTGCAATGGGGTACTCTATAGCGAGTACAGCCCAATTTAGGGTTTCCTGCTGCTTCTAGTCCAAAGCCCTCTTTTCTGTTCTAAACTTCTGCCTGCTGTTTTGACATACATAGTATAACACGCCCTTCTAAACATAAAAAGAAAGATAATGAAGCAAGAAGCAAGACTATAGCAATCGATGGCCTACATCAACCGGCGCAACTGCAGACAAAACTTGTGGTTGTCACTAGGCGGAAGGGCCATGGTGAAGATGTCTGCAGTGTTGGATGCTGAGGCTACAAGCTCCAAGCATGGCTGCGTCGCTGCACCTTTCGCAGTAGAAAGTATCTCACGTCGATGTGCTTCAGTCTTCCCTCCAGTCGAGGCTCTCGACAAACAACGATCATGGCCTTCTTTGTCAGCCATGGCCCCGGTGTAGATCTCGGCCTTAGAGGCCAGACTGCACCACAGATGACGACCAAGTAGACATCCATGACACATCACCCAGAGCCCAAGCTAAAGCAGTTGCCCTGAGCAGTCCTCGAGGTCTCCACGTCAGTGTAGGAAGAGTTGCAGTGATTACTTAGCACAACTGGCTGTGTCTCCAAGCACAAGCTCCATGCCTGGTTTAGTCGCGATGTACTTTGCTACCCTCACAGCTGCCACCCAGGAAACAGGTCAGTGTCTCCGAGTCACATCAAAGCGAGCCAGGATACTAAGCAGAAAAACGAGGTCTGTACGAGTACAAGTCATCAGGTACCTGAGGTAACCCACTATTTCTGCTTAGGAACCATTGACTCAAAGAGTTTGTCAAAAACAGGGGCAGTAAGCCTATGATAAACGGCAAGAACTGTAGGTTATGTGGTAGAGTACTGAAACCTGAATTGCTCAAGGACCTGCTGAACCAAGCTTGACTGAGTTGGTGTAATGGTGCGAGCAGCTCTATCTTTGGTGATCTGCAAGTCAAGGTAGCAGCGCAGTTCATCAAGGTCAGTGCGTGTGCGTCTCATTTGCAGTATGGACTTCACCTCAGCTATAGCAATCCTGTCTGTTGCAATGAAGACCAAATTGTCAACGTAGACGAGGACGATGATAGTTGTAGTCCCATAATGAACGAACGAGGATGGGTCAGCGGTAAAAGGTATGAGACCAAGGTCAGCAAGTATGGATCGAAGAGTGTCATGCCACACATGATGCGCCTACCAGAGACCTTAGACTAGTCAATAAAGGCTCCACTAGGTCCAAGGCGGGAAAGTGTCAGTGAAGCAAGGAGGATGTCGGAGCCAGAACTCCCCATGAAGGTGGCCCTGGAGAAAGGCAGTGGAGAAGTCCAGTGAGTGTAGCTCGTAGCCTTACTATGCTACAACGTGGGGTAACACCCGAAGAATGACCATTTTCAAGGTTGGGTCGAAGGTCTGGAAGAAGTCAGCTCCCTCACGCTAACTGTAGCCACATAGCGCGACTTGAAGACAGCCGGTGATCCAAGCGGCCGCTTAACCTTGAAGATCCACATACTATCGACTACGTTCGACCCGAGAGGGGGAACTGCATCGATATAAGTACATCTGGATCTGCAAGACGCCATCTCTGAGTCCATGGCCACTATTCATGAAGATGCCCACATCCGTGATACTTTCTCTCGGTATCTGCGAGGAGTCAGTACCAACCATATCGGTAAGCAATGCTGTCGGATGCCATAGGCTTCCCCCTCGTTAGCCTGCCCTCGCGGTCTCTCCTTTATCTTTGCCCTCCTTGACTGACTCCTTATTGCCTCCTTCTTCCTCTTTGCCCTTTTCT